AATTTTGCGTAGATTAGACATTCCTAAAATCCTCCCATTAAAAAAGAAAGAAAATCACGAACAGAACACATGTAGACCAAAATCTGAGCTGCTCGCCAGAATCTTGTCATTCCTGTGTAAAGAATGAGAAGTGCTGAAAATCTAATTGAAGGCGCTGAAAGCACTGGCTGGGGAGGGACCCTGGCCTGCCCAGCAGGGCCTCTGTCTGAGGAAAGGCTTCGCTCTGGAGAGAGAGAGGAAGCCTCACCGTGGAGTTTCCTCTCCTTGCGTGCTGTGCAGCACATCATTCTCCTTCTGATCTCTTCCAGCCGTGTTCCACAGCACAGTAAAAGGAGATTTCGAGTCCCTAGGCAAGAAACTCAATGCTTAGTTATTACAAAGTTCCCGGGGATTGGCTGGCCAAACTTACTTTCCAACCCTCCGTGCTTCTCTGGTGATTTTCTGAAATCTCTTCCCTCTGTGATCAGGCTCCCTCAGATTCTCCCCAGATGCAGCTCTTCGCTGAACTCTTGATGTGCCTCTCTTGCTCTGCCAGCATCTGCAACACTTGAACACACTATTGTCTTCTCAGTTCATTATGTTTGTGATTCTGGGTTGATTATAGGATAATACGCAAGAAGAGGGCATGACATTGGAAATGAGGACAAAAGCACTTGGACATGGGCACTTCTTACTACGGGAAGCTAAAACCATTCTCCGTGCAGCTTTTTACTTGTCTTGATTTGTTTTGTCACTGTCTCCTCAGCCTTAACCACATCACTAGAACAGCTCTAAGAATCTAGAGAAATTTGCATGAAAAGACCCTTTTGCTTCAGATCATATTAAAATTTAGGAAGCTCTCATCAGCTGGGTATGCTAAATGTTTTTTAAAATATCTTAATATTTTTCAAATAATGTAAATTATAAAAATGAATTTTCTAATAGAATATTTTATAAATTGAGTAAAACAATAATCATAGATTTTTGTCAACACAAAAGCAAGACAAAATAGTATAACTTAATTTTCTTTGGATATTATTTTTCTGCATCAAACAATAATACCTGTTTTATCATAACTGAAGACACTGTACCTCATCGTCTTTTTACAAGTCCAGATAGTCTTAGTAAGTAGATAAACACAAGTACATGAGACTACAGCAAAACAGTAATAATTTATTTTATTTCATTACTGATATAAGCAGTTTTACACACAGATTTAACTAGGAATCACCAAAGAATCTTTTAAGGAACAACTTTGTAGTTTGAAGAACACTAAGAATTAAAAACATGCTCTTCTAATCATCCTCTTAATGGATCTTAAAAACCAGTCTTACAGGTAATATTGAGCAGAACTTACTGTCCACAATTTGAAATAAAGACAATGTGTCTTATAAGTGTTAAATGACCTATCTCTTGTCACTGGGTTGTCTCACAGAGCCAGAATAAACCAGTCACGCCTTGTTACTTCCACACTTTGTACTTCCTACTTTGTGTCTCAAGACGTACCAATTCCTTCTGTTCCCTCTTTTTCTCATGAGCTATGTTAGCATATTCACACTGCTTTAAAAATGAGTGGTATTAACCTGGACCCTGCAGCATACTTAGTTATCAAGGTTAAAGTCATTTTCAATACCAACAATACTAATACTCTAATGCAGATTTCTTTTTTGTACTGTTTGCCCTATTTGATATACTGTACATTTTTTCCAGAATCTGTTATCGCAAGTCTTACCTTTCTGAATTTCTGTATATTCTCAATTTGTAAATTTTTACTTATCCTTTTATTTCTACTATCTTCTGGAATTTTAGACAGAAAAACATGGCTTTATCATTCTACCCTCCACATTTCTTAATTGTCTTGTAGTTACCTCCTGGTCTGTTTGTAGCAATAATAATTTTCAAAATTTAACATTCATCTTCCAACTCATTTACTCTTATTTTGTCTACTCAGGTATTTATCTCATTCAGTAAATTGTTAATTTCAATAATTAGATTGTTCAATTTTCTAAATGTTTTAAGTTTTCAGACTTGCTGACTTATTTTTTTAAACTTTTCTTTTTGATCATTTTGTATCATTTTTAACATACTTTCAATTCAGAATTACATTATATTTTGAGCCTTATATTACAACTAGACCCATTTAAAGTATAAGCATTCTTTAAATTTATCAGTTTATACCTCAGTCATGCTTTTAATTTCTAATTATGCATTTGTAAATTTTATAGGCTCATTATTCAGTTGATTTTGTGAAATGCCAAGGACCTAAATTGGAATTATTTAGGCTACAATGTAACAATCTGGATTCTGTCTTATTTAATTTAGACTATCATAGTGAAATTCCAGAGACTAGTTACCTGAAACAACAGAGCCGTATTTCTGTTATTAGGAAGTCTAAGAACAAAGTGCCAGAATGGCTAGTTCTGGTAAGTGCCGCTTCTGCATTTGGAAGTGCATGGCTTACTGATTCTCTTCTTGTAAGGACATTAATCCCTTCATGGAGTTCCCATACTCATGAGGCTCGATCTTCAAACACCACCACACTGGAAATCAAACTTACGAATTTTGGTGATAAAGGACAGAGCAGTCAATCCAGAAAACTCACTTTTGCCATTTTTGTCAGTTTTGGTGTTCTTGTTTTGGTAGAGTTTTGGATACCTACCCAAATTTGTGTCACTGACAATTCCCCTTCTCAAATTGGAGACACAGTTGTGCCTCTCATGTCTTGCAGCATGCAGAGATGGATTTCATTTTCTCATGAACCAAAAGCATGCAGCTTTTAATATTTCAAATTATATCTTATAAAAAACAAAAACTTTTCAAAAGAATATTCAGAAATTTATAATATATCTTGAATTTAATATTGATTAAATATTAGTTTATGGCTCTTGTGAAGAAACAGTATTACTTCAATACAGTTTCAATTACTCCAGTTACCCTTTTAGTTTCTCCTAGCGCATGATTTATAGAGACACACAAAAGTTATATGAGACAGTTGTTCAGTCACAGGCTGAAATATATCACAGTGATTATCATATGAAAGTATGACTACTCTGTATCGACCTGTCAGCCAATCAGCAAGCTACATATGAGAAAAATGCACCTAAATAATGTTGTTGTTACCTTTTCTTGGATTTTTCAAATATAGATGTATTGTTTGTGAGTCAGTATTAAAAACTAAAATTCTGAATAGAAACATATGTATAAATATGCAATTGATTCAAAGCAAAAGCACTTTTTATTTTCTATCTGTTTTGGTTTGAGCCTGGATGTACCCTGAAAACCTCAAGCTATCATGGATGCAGGCTTGCAGAGTTTGTGAATGACTTGTGGGCCAATGCTGGGATTATGGGTACCAGAGCTACACCCAAGAGGGTGTGGCTACATACAGTATAAGGGACAGAGTCTTCTCTCCATGCACCTCCCCTTTTGCTATTGTTGCCTGGGCTGTTTTCTGCCACCATGGACTGTAGTTCTCTGCCATGTGTCGCTCTGCCTTGGAGCCAGGTGATTATAGACTGAAACCTCCACAAACTGTAGACTAACTAAACCCTTCCTTTCATTTTTGGCATCAGCTGTTTTGTCTCAGCCACAAGACAAAAGTAATCTAGACACTACTGATCAAGGACTACCTGTTGTTTAGACAATTTCTAATAATGCTAACTTGAAAAACAAATAGATGTTCTCTTCTAACTTTAATGAGAATATCTTCACTTTGTAATGTACCATCACTGCAGCACCTTCAAGCTCCCCCTGTCTGTTGTAGCTGATTCTTTGGTGCCATTTCATATTTTGTTTTTCTGTTAGTCTAAAGATACCCCAACTTATAAACAACTAAAGAAAACACTTCCTTGATCCTTCCTTTTCTTGGCATCTTTTAGGGATACTAATCTCTGTGCCTTTTCCAGTTGGAGCATGACTTCATCCATGCCTTCAACCATTCATATACTTATTCTAAAACTTTTCCTGAGCACCTCATCTGGTCAGTCATAATACTTGATATTGTAAAAATGGAGAAAAAAAGCATTTTTTAATCCTTAAACTCAGATTGGGGAGGGAGACAAATAAACAGTCCATTCCTATTCAGAAAAAGAAATTTATTAGAGAAACATAAAAAGAGAGTAGAATACTGAATGCTATTAAGAGTGGGACAGAAGTGAATTTTCATGCCACAAATATTTACCTCCTCAAAGCAAAAAGCAGATAAACAGCAACAACAACAACAACAAACTTAGATCACTGACATTTAGCTACTTTTTAAACTGGCATTTATATTCATTATTTGAAAGTCACTGCTTTTTAAAATATCTTCTGGTGACTTAAGTAGAAGCTCTAATGATTCATCCTCAACCAACCTGCACTTAAAAACTCTTTCATGTAGAATAATCTATCTCAAAATCATTGCTTTTGTTCCCTTCTTTCTACATTATCCAAACAGCACTCCTGGTATTTACTTAATCTAAATATAAGTAGGTGATTAAGTAGTGCTGATTAATAGTGCACACTATTTCATATTGTGTTTTTTTTTTTTTTCCTCTGATGGCATAATTGAGATAGAGCCTCACTATGCAATTCACAGGTATCTTTAAACTCACTACTTATCCCAGGCTAGGATTACTGGCATATGCTGCAATGTGTGGGTCATATTGTGTTTTTGAAATTGTCTTAGCCTATGTTTCAATTTCCCTAATTGAAATCACCTGACATCATCTACATGGACTAACATATGACCTCGAACCCAGCATGTGATAATAAAAACAACTTGGTGAATTTGGCATAATCTAGAATAATTAACATTAAAATTATACTTTAGTGGTTTTTTCTCATCAATTTAAATTACTAAAGAGTTCAGGTAAGGGACAGTGTGGACCCCCAGTGAAATCATAAGATTCAGCCATTTATTTATGCACTAAAAGTAAAAATAAATCAGATACACATATATTTCTCATAGATTGTAGCCATTCATGAAAATTAATTATGAATACATTTTCAGGCAGATTGTCCTTTTATGTTCTTTCAAACAGTGGCGACAAGTTGGCAACCTCAAGTGGTGATACTTCGGTTAAATTATGGGACCTATCTACAGGCGATTGCATTTTGACCTTTGAAGGACACAAACATGGGGTTTGGTCCTGCTCGTGGCATTCCTGTGGTGACTTTGTAGCTTCTGCTTCACTGGATACAACCAGTAAAATCTGGGATGTGAATAGGTAAGAAGTACTTTAAATGTTCTTGCTCTATCTATCTATCTATCTATCTATCTATATATATATATCCAAGCATAGGAGTACAAATAGCATCCTGCATCTGAATTATGAAACTAATACACACACACACATACACACACACACACACACACACACACACACACATATATATATATATATATATATATATATATATATATATGTTTTTTCTTCTTCATGTTACCATTGGGACATATTAAAAGAAAATGTTAGTTGATAAGATTATACAGCTACTCAAATAATTTTAATGAAATCCATTTCTAACTCCATTAATCTTTGTTGTTATAATAATTACTTTCTAAATGTACATACCCAGATCAAGCCTGTATAATAAGATTAGAAGTGCTTCATTAGGAAGCTGTTTTAGGCAGGGTAACTACAAGTCTTTCCTTTAGAGAGTCAGGCTGTTACTGCTAGCCTTACTGTCAGGATACTATCCAACATTAGTTTAATAGACATGAATATGATGGAAATATTTAGAATATTTCCATCATTTGATGAATTATAGTGTTTTCCATAATTAAATTCTAGAAATTTTTAAGAAACAATGCAATTTATTGCATGCAAAACCCTATACAACATAATTTGGATTATAAATTTTAAATTTTGTTATTAACTGGAGAGACAAATCCATTAGGTTTAAAGTGTCAAAACTTCTGCCACATATATATTTTTGAGTATTATTATATTCTGTCAGCTATGATACAAGAAAGATAAGTTTAGCTACTACTGAACAGCCTAATTGTTTTAACTAAGAAATTATAAATTGTCTGTCAATCTTCTGATCACTTTCATCATTGAAACAATGCCCAGGAACCAAAATCTGAATGGTGATTCCTTAAAATTGAGGCAAACGATTGTTCCGGACCTGATGTAATTTATTTTTGTTGGGGAAAAGTGGAACTATTTTAAGAAAAAGGAACATTAATTCAGGGTCATGTGTATACAGGTGCCCTGAACAACCTGTCTCCATTCTTCCTTAAATCCCGAGTGACATGGAGAACAGAGGGAAGGCAAGTAGGTATTTATGAAACACAGCATTTTTTTCCTGGTAGGAGTCACTGTTTTGTTCTCTTTTCTTTTCTTTCTTTCTTTTGTACAGGGATCGAACTCACAACCTTGTACCTGGCAGGTAGACACTAATGCTACTGAGCTAAATCCCCAGCCCAGGAGTCAATGTTTAATTCTGTGCATAAGTGGATAATTACTTAAGGCCAAGGGGCAATTTTTAAGCTCTTTTCTCTCAACACCAAACCCAACCGTCTTTAAAAGACTCTGAAACTGGGTTCTGCAAAACACACTGTTGACATTGCTTTGCCTGCAGGAGACTGTAAATCTGGGGATAAGAAAGGGGACTTGGTGCTTCCCGTCTTCTCTCTTTGGGGTCTTATAGGCTTGCATTCTACTGAGCCTCATTGCATTCCTCCTTCTCCTCAGCAACAGCAGTCTGTTTTCCTCACAGCAGCTGCATTTAGGTGGCAGAGTTTTTTCTGACGTCATGGTATCATCAGGGACCAGTGGTCTTAGCAAGCAGGTGTCCCTTTTACCAAATTTTGTTCCCAGCTTTTCAAGATTGTCTCTCTGATCAAGGAAGTACCAATCCCAGCAGATGAGTCTTTCTCCTCAGAGAGCATTCATTTTCAAAGGCCTCCTCTTAAAGGTTTTGTTGAGTTTTTAAAAAATATTTTTCAATACTGGGGGTTGAACCCAGAGTTTCACCTATGCTAGCCAGTGGTCTACCAATTAGCCACCCCCCTACCCCAAGGCTGTGAGTCTTAACAAGTCCACCCTATTTATTTTTTTCACTCAGTCCTTTAGTCAGCAGCTCTTCCCTAAAGTTGCTTTTTTCATAGTAATCTTAGGGTTATTTTTACCCCTTTTCAGTTCATCAGTTAACATAATTAATAATCATATAGATATGCGATTAACACTCCTGTCTTTTGAATTCCTATTCTGAAAATGAGAGGTACAGATTGATAAAAATGGACTTGGCAGATCCAAGATAAATAGCATCCTGCATCTGAGTTATAAAACTGCAGCTAAACAGTGGTCTCTCTTACATGAAGAAACTGAAAATATAAATAAAAGAGCAAAAAAAAAAAAACCCTGATAGATAATAGGAAACATGAAGAGGGATCTTAGACAAAAGGGAAGGAGATTAACTGTCGGCGGTATGGGAGGGAGAGAAGGGAAGGAGACGAGCAAAGGGAGGAGGATCATGTTATAAGTGCGTACCCGTGAGCAATGCAATTGCTATGTATTGCTAACATGTCGTAATAAAAAATGAAAATTGAAGAAGAAACCACAGCTAAATAATGTTTAGCATACTCCAAATGAGAAAACAAAGGCTAACTGATACATTTTGACCTAATTTACCTAAAATGTGATTTATTCATGGTGTTTTAATTCTCAGATGGATAACACTTTATCTGAAATAATCAATCATATCTAATTCTTAATTCTATTAAGCTTCTTTATTATATGACCAGATTTCATGAATATTTATTATAGCAATCTACTGGAATTTTAACACTAGTATTTAATTTTAACTTTTATCACCTTTGACTTAAGAAACGATCCTTACAGAAAAATATAGTTCATTCTAAAATTTATCTTCAAATCTCTTAATAATTCAGAGTGTTTAGATAAAATTACTGTTAAAAAATGGATTCTCAACATGTACTGCTCTACTTAGGACAAATCTGAACACTCTGACTTGACAACTTTTCCCATGACCATAGTATCAAATACGATTTCCTTATTTTTACCCAGTGAACACTGACATAACAGATTAAAATTGCCCTTGACTGATGCCAAAATTCTTTACCAAATTTCTCATCAATGCCAGGAGATGAGATTTTCATCATAAATGACAAGAAATTGTACTAACTTTGCAACAGAAGTAGTGGACATTTATTGATGAGTAGGGATGAAATGGACAGTTTCTGTTAGGGGACTATTGATACATCATTCAGAGCTAAAGTCAAAACACCAGATCCAATTCCTAAGTGCTCACAGATCAGTACTGTGTGGACATGTCTAAACTAGTTCTGGCTTTAAAATTCCACAGGTTAATGGAACCGACTTAGTGATGTAGGTAAAATGAGTGTTTGTAAAGAGCTGTGCTTTTCTGGGTCATATAAACTTATCTTAATGCCATATAGCTCTTGATGAAAAAATAATTTATATTTGGGTGTACTACTGTTCACCAAAAGGAAACATCTAGAACACATTCTCTTCTACTATTATTAACTGTTCCTCTTCAGCTACCGGGTCAGTTTTGAGTATCCTTGAATTGATGTCTTATCACAGTTCTGCCATGTATCTGATTTGGATGTGGCGCGGCAGAACTATTCATTTAGCCCCTTCCTGAAAAGCTGGGGGCACTGCGAAGCATACTAAGATAAAGATTCATGTTTACTAATACTAGCAAGAATCTATGCACAATATCTATAATGTTCTTAATCTAAATGAATTCCACTCTACAAAGATCCTGAGTAATGAGCAGCATCTGATTGTCTTCTGAATGATCACATATATGAAGCAGAAATAGATGTGCATTTCTGCTAACGTTCACTGATTTCTGGCTGTTTTCAATTACATTCTTTAAAAATCAGTCCTAAAGCATGCGTGCATTATTAGACACACACTCACAAACATACATGCATACACACACATATAATTACTATATCCTGAGCAGAAAACACACAGAACATGGACGCTTACCTGCAAACCTGAATAAAGAGTGAATCAACAAGCATATGTGAAGAGAATATTTGAACTGTTTCTTTTGGTCTCTCTATGCTCAAACTGTAGCAGAATTAGGCTGTCTGATCCTGTATGAGACTAGACAATGATGAAAATGGGGCAGAAAACCAGAAGGTATCTCCATCAGCTGTAAAAAATAATTTGTGTTTCTTTCTAGGCATTTATGCATAACATTAATCAATAAGTATTCATGAGATGACAACAGTGTTGGGCTGTATTACAGACATAAGACAATTTTCAGACTCAATCGCTACCTTTATGGAGAATATAAATAATTTTTAAATGTAGCAATTTTGTAGCAATCAGAGCGTATGCAGTACATCTGTTATTTATAATATCACGTCAGGTATTCTGGTAACTCCTTGCTGCTTTTCTTTCAAGGTAGCTGGGTATTTGGCTGAGGAGCTATGTTATGCTGTCACTCTAGTATTTGGAAAGCAGAGTATGTGCCCGCTTAGCTTGTACCTGTTGGGAAGTAGCCAAAACATTACTGAGTGTAGCTGCCCTAGATGTTTGAAAAAGATGTTACACAGGCAAGAATTCCATAGTTTGTAACACAGCAAAATATCTTCAAAACTTCTTTACCTCAAATTATGGGATAAGTCTTCTGCCCTATATTTCTACATTTTTGGAAGCCTTTTCTAATTTGCAGAGAGAGAAGAATAAGACCAGCTTAAGAACATGTTTCCTTTAAATTCGTGACTTCTGTTATTCCTTATTACTTGGAATCAAATGTGAGAGAATTGTATTCACCAGGAAACCATAAACAGACCCTTAAAATCCCCATGACTCTTCAAACTATAAAATTGTCACTAAAGCTCCAAATTTGCCTCCAAAAAGCAAATTTCTAGTGACATACAGTTCGCAAGAAAAGGACAGATACTACATTCTTCAGATGTAGCCTTAAAAGATAATAAGACCAAAGTCTGAAATCACAAAAACTAACAAACAAAAGACCTTATCTAGACAGCATGTCATCATCTAATCAGGGAATATTTTTAGTGCTAGGTCAAAGTCCCTCATGACTCCCAGAATGTTATCAGTGTCCAAACTACTGATGTTTATGTATGTTCCATTTTTAAAATTTTCTGCATTGTTTATATAACAGTTATTCTGTCCTTACTTCAATATTAATGTGTTCTCCTGTTGCTGGAACAAAATACTTGCTACCCACAATATAAAGAACAAGAGGTTTA